TTTTGCCCTTTTTTTTTTTTTTTTTTTTTTTTGAAAATCATCCAGTCTCTTCGCCAGCTTCCAAATCGCCTATAATCAAAAGAACAAATTTGAATAGTCCTTTGAACAATATTGGCTAACGGTACTTTTTTTGTAAATCATCCAACCGTCCTCCGCAGCTTCCGAATCACGTATCATCTTGCAGACGTCCAACAGCACCAAGTGTCTAGCGACGCAATCGGTTTCGCAATGTACCAGAAGATGGCTTCCTTGCAAGGCTCCATCCATACCATGGACCAATCCCCTTGTGTACATTGGATTAAGGGTGACTCACGTACGACCACGTTCCTGGATTCTGGACGCCGCATGGCACTTCTTGCCCCAATGTTTATCTCCCGACTGCCGACGGATGTTGGTCCATTTTATTTTTTTAAGCCCATAGCTACCCCTTACACACCCCCTCAGCATCCCAGCGGCTTGTATCTTCGTTTCGTCATCTTCAAGAATAACGTCGTGTTCTACATACGCTTATATATTTATATATACATATAGAAACATGTATCTATCCCATTATTCCTGCTCCCACTTTTTTCTCTTTCTTTTTTCTTCTCTCTTCGTTCCCATGAAGCCAGCGATGGAAAAATATTGTCCCTCCTTCGGACGGATCGATGAGCAACGTGCGATTTTCTTGTACGCATTCGAAGTTCCGGCTGTTTACTGGAAAGGTATGGAAAGTATGAAAATCCTATAAGGTCATGAAAGTAGGGCTTGAATAATTTTTGATAAATGGTTCGACGCGAATGTCATTAATAAATAATATTTTATAATTTATCATCGAGTTATTTTTAGAGATTCATTTCACTGGGTCGGGGTAGCTTTTATGCTTGGCGGTTACTCGAATTACTGTAGAACGATTGAGAACTTTTAAAACAACCTGTACTACCTGCCCGTCCCTTATGCGGTAATTGATAATAGAAAATGCAGCAGAACCGCTGCTAGTCGCTGAAGCCAAATGGAGAGTTCTTGCGGGTGCGCAAGTGTTGCCGTTCTGCTAGGTGAGATAGGAGAAGAAAAAAAAAGAAAAGAAGAACTAAAAGACTGAATGGAAGAAGGAACGAAGAAAAGAGGAGAGAAAAAGGAATTAAGAAAAAAAAGTAGAAAAGAGATGAAAAAAAGAAGTCCTAAGAAAGAAAAAGAAACAAGAGCCTTCGGGTACCAAATGAAAGCCAATTTCTATCGTCTGGATATATAGCAGCTTGTGAATCTTCTGCCATTGTGAACTACCCTTAAAATTTAGAATTTTTTCTAATTCACATATGCACCCCTCCTTTAGTCTTGCCGCGCCTACTGTATCCTCGTTAAATGAATTTATCGTCCACGAGAACCAGGGGTTGCTAAGTATCGCTGCTAATTTTCCCAGCGTGCTCTTTGGGGATGAAGCTCGTCGCGAATTAGGAACGAGCCGAGAGCCTTGAGGACACATGTGGTCTGCCGGTGACGCAGGATATGCCTGTGTCCTGTTTGTTGTCCATTAGAGGGAATGTCAGAGGAAAACTACCCTTACGCTTTCCACTACCAGAAGACCTGCAGCTAACCTATGAGCCACCCTCTATGCGAGCCACCTTTATTCAGGTTAGTAACGTTTCCACCCCTTACTTACCTACATTACTACCCCTGCTGCTACTCTCTATCTCTCTATCTCTCTCTCTCTCTGCCCGTTTCTAGAACTTGTGAGAGAAAACCACCCTTGGTCGGAACGGGATTACAGTTTCTTAAAGAGCCACCGCCCCCTGCGCTTGGACCATCCTCGAAAAGTACTGGCAACCCTTTAATTCCTCATGACGTCTTTCACGTAGTCACCGTCGTCATAAATGTTGACCTTTTTCATTTAACCACCCTCTTTCACCTACCCCTATTCATCTTTTACACGTTAATCAACTTGTTTTCCAATAACCGCTGGTGGAGAGAAGATTCTTAAAAATTGTACAGTCAAAATTCGCAGTTGGTCTTACAGCAATGAATTTTCTTTCTATTAACATAAAATAAATTATAAACTACATATAAAATGTTATCAAAAATCCATAAGTTCAATATTATTGTAAAGCGAGGCGGTAAACTCCTCAACGACAAGATGCCCCTTGATTGGATAAGAAGCTTAAGGGTAGTAAGAAGATAGAAGAAGGAGGGACTGAGAAAGAGAGGAAAGAAAAGAGTCAAAAAGAAATCAAACTCCCTTTAACGGGCCATGAATTTCAAAGACCGAGCTCAAATAGGGTGAGTCAAGTCCTAAACGTAGGGTGGTACCCGTTTCTATGGACTTGAAGGTGTGAGAGACACCGACATTTTTTTTTTTAATATTCAACTCACGACTTCGCTATAGCTCACTCACACGAGATTCAGCCCAGCTTCCAGCCTCCCATTTCATCCCGCGTCGACGGTTCATCATCTCCACAGAGGAAGTGGCGCTTCTTTCTCCTTTTTATGCCACTCTGCCCATCCACGGCCAGATAAATTTCGGCTATGATTAAGTCACTCTGTGGTGGGAATAACAGAAGCGTTACTCTTTTGCAATTTAAGTTAACCTGAAGTATAAATAAGTATTAATGATCAGCAGACGCCTGATACTCCTTGGCCTTTCTTTAGCCGGACCTTTTCATCCTCTATTTTACTTGGCAGAATATCTGTTGCCAGAAAACAGACACTGTACTAAATTTATACGAAATTCCAGGAAATCTCATCAACAATTACAGTTTAGTGTCATCTTCAATTCTCAGCTTGATTTTTAATTCGATTTTACAATATTGATTCTTAATAAACAACCTGACGTACAATGGATGTTGGTAATATGACCATTTCATTTATTCATGAATATAATACCAAACGTGCATAGAGTATGTTAATGCTCGACTAAAACTCTGCATATTTATATGCTCCCCTCAATCTAAGCTCCTATAAGTTCCTATGGGTTTACATATGTAAACTCTTGCAAATTACCAACCATGATTAAAAGCGAGAAATTTGAACAGAACTGATTCGATATTATATCTGACTGAGAAGAATATTAACTTAATCACGATTATAATCGTATTAAATATTATACATATATGTATAATTATATATAATAATAATACTATTGCACTACTCCATTCTGAATTTCTCAACAGACACGTATAACTATATCACTTAATCTACTTATCAGTGAACTTGCTAAGGTCTTATCACGTCAATGTAGACTATTCTCCTTTACGTTCCTTGGTTTCCCAGACTGATTCTAAGTTTCTCCTCCGACCAGAATGGGTATGCCTTCCTCTTTCCTTCCTTCCTTCCTTCCACCTTGCGGCATCACTCTCTGGGCTTCTCTGATTAATCTGTTTCATTACCCAGAAGCTTGTTCCTGGGCGCACCGTACAACTTTTCGTTATTAGCATTTAGGGCGGTCGTGTGAGCAGGGTTTGTTGGCTGCTAGGATGTCGTCGCAGAGCACCAGGAGTCCGGGGAGCTGGAAGAAGACGAAGTATGTACCTGGGTAGATGCCACTATCATCTCATACCTCGTTCGCTTAATCTAGGTACAATGAGTTTCTCAATCTAGGTTCCTGGTTGAATACAAGTCCTTGTGTTTCTCCAATTCCCAAATGTATTATTCTTCCAGGACAGATACGTGTAACCTATGGGACTTTGATCTTGAGATTCTCTTACAGTTTAATTATTGTGTGTCTGGCTAATAATAAAAATGAATGATTTCATATATTGATTAATGACCAGAGGGAATTTGAAATTGAACGAAAATTATTGCTGGTATAGTTTTTTCAATGAATTCTTCTGATTCATGGCTTATTGATTTCAAGCAGAACGAAGAATACATAGAGGTGATACTTAATAGAGGTAAATACATATGTGGGATATGCAATGGCGAGGAGATAAAAAGTAGCAAGGTGCCATTACATATGTTTATACTCCAAACAAGCTACATTCAGTGTAATATGTGCATATGTAGTGCGACCTTCTTTTTAAAGTTCTCAGGTACCAACTACTAAAGAGCAGGTGCACCCTTGGCTTGTATAATTACAGTGAAACGCGCGAGAAAATTTCAATTAAAAAAATCATTAGTAGAATGTGACCGCTGGTGCGGGTGTTACACTTTTTTTTTTTTTCGTCGTGCTTCAAGCAAAAAATTACGCTTTAAGAATAAGCGCTTAATCGCGTTTGCTTTGGAAACAAGTTCGTTGCCCACTTGAAAATGAAGCTTTTACGTGCTTTGTATATTTTTTGTACTATTTTTCAATACGTGCATATGAATGACACGAGACTGTAAACGTGTAGCGTACTATATCACTGTATTTTGAGACTAGAGAATTATGACTGACTGTTGCAAAATTAACAGTGTAATTGCATATAAGTGTAAAAAATGTGCTGTAACTTTTTAATGAACAATGACGTAACGGCAAATGTAATAATTAATTTTGTATTGACACACAAGTGTAGATTCTGCAATGATATTGGAAATTGGTGAACTTTATGAAACCATGGACAATTCAACGGCAAAGCAACCTCGATAATTCAAATTGAATTTGTATAATGGTCCTATTTATTAATTCATTCGAGAACAACGATCGGTTCAATAATTTCATGCACTCGTGGTTAATAATTCTAGAACTAATATTCATTAAACGATTATAGAACGTCGTGGAGCGAAAGTCGACTGTTGAAATTGTGAAAAAAAAAGAAAAAAGTTAAATCTCTCATTCAATCGAGTGACTACGTCCCGAGGACAATTTTAATTTTCATTATTAATGCGATCGAAACTCTAATTAAAGTTCTTCCAAAAGTTTTTCAATATCTATACTGTTTCTTTTGTTTCGACGCTTTCGTTCGTTTTCCCGAAAATGTCTCATTTTTTTCTATCTCGTAACTCAACGAGAGGAGGGAGGATCGACGAGTAATCCACCCTCCTTGTAATTCCATCTAATTGAGGAATTATTCAGCAGAAACTCGCGACGTCGCTCTGTTTTTCAATAAACCTCGGAAAGCAATTCGAACGCGAAAGACGTCCGTTACGATATTGCGTAATGAATTCCAATTAGGGTAATCGAGCGCACTGAATTCGAAGTCAGGACGACACTTGAGAAAACCATTGGGAAAACTACCAGAGAATCGATTAATGAGAAGAAGATCCATATTCCTCGTTAAGAAATAGAACGGTCGTCTGATAATCTGCATACTTTTTCCACTTAAATTTATCCTCCATATTATAATTCCATTGCCAATACCCATTCGACCTCTACGAAGTCAGCATCCACTTGGACAATTTGAAATCTTGTATTTTTGAAGATTTTTCTATGCACAGTCTTGCAATTGCCGAAGTTTTGATCCCAAGGAATTTCCGTTCTGATCCCTTTTACTGCTTCCATGTTCAGTCAAATCTCGACACGACCTGCAATATGAACCAAAACGTGACTTAGGTTGAGGAAATGGGAAAAGCCAGAGTCTCGGAGCAAGTACAGAGAGTAACCAAGTACGTGTGGGGGCGATAGGGTAGGAGAAACGTCAGTGAGTAGAAAGAATGGCGAGGAAGCATGAGAGGAGTGTAAAGAAAAAAGAAAAAGACATTAAAGAAAAGGAAGTTCGATAAAAAGATGGATCTCTAACCAAGTGCATATGACAGGACTGTCTATAGTTCATTGTTAAGATATCGGTGGAAAAAATTGTACGATGAAGAATTTTTCTATAATAAATTCCACATTAAAAAATACTCGAAATGTAATTTTTCGAAAAATATTTATATAAATTTACCATTAAAATCTTTCGTGCGTGGCAGCCATTTGTTACACTTTTTTTTTCTACTGTTTTATTGCCACCCATATTTCCCCAGGATCGGTACTCGATACGAAATTGTAGGAACGATATAACGATAATCGTCAATGTGAATAACGAGCTCAGTACGAAGGTTAATTAAAGTAATGGCGGCCTTTACTGTTATGTCAAAGGGACAGAAACGATAACGGAAGTAATAACAGAAACGACTTCGTTACGCGCGCGACCGGAAATACGAGGGATTTCCAAAAATGGAGATATCCTACGTACATTCATCGAGTAGGATTCCTTTTCGTTTGTTCTCTGACCAATTAATGGTTAAACGACACGACAGTACCTAGATGTCGCCACAGTGTTTCAGGCCAATAATGGCTTTTATGACAATACGTCCAGATCACGAATTTATAAGGAGTCCGCACGAGAAAGAATAATAAAAAGGAAAGCAGCCAACAAAGCGTTGAACTAGCTCGGATGATAACTTACTCGTAAAAGGAATTCGATATAAAATGGCCGTTATCGAGTTTCCGGTGTTCTCGAGGATAGCAGGAAGATTTCTGAATGCGGTCAAAGTTGGTGCATCACCGTAAACATCTTCGTCCCAGTGAAAATCCTCTTAGACATTTCTTTTTCCATGTGACGTAACAGCTCCTTCACCTAATTACAAAATATACAGATATTAATTTTATTTGGCAGGATAACTTTTATAATTTTACTATCAAGCAGTCTTGTTCGATCTTATTAATTTTGGTATCTGTTTTCTGCTTTTGATAAGGACACAGATTTTCTAACGATCGATGACGCTGCTTTATTGCTGTGTTTTGAGAAACAATAGCCCTATTAATAACAATCTCCTCTGATATCAATAGTCCCATACGAATCTCGTGCCAACTGCCTATACGAATTACACTGGTACTTGAATCGTGTATCTGTACCGTATTTCGATAACCCAACCTAACCCTGTGACCCCCTTTAACGTTGACAATAGTTCACTTCACATAGGATATTCTGCGAATGGATATTATATGTCCGGGAAAATAGCGGATGGATAAGAACAATATATATCCGGTATAAATAATCATATATGAATAATCAAAACGCAAATACACTTAATATACTTGCAGAATTTGCTATCGATCGAACAGGATTAAATGATTAAATGTGCTGATGCATAATTATTAAATATACGTAGTACTAGTCACATCATTGATACAGCGATATACGGTTAGAGCCAAAGTTTTCCTTTGTGAATCCCCCTTCAGAATCCCTCACTAATACCATACCCAAAGTGGAATTTAAACTGGTCCAAGGTCTAATTTCTAATAGTTTCAAAGTTTTCGAAGGGATTGTCTCCGGGCGGATACGGAAATGTATAGATATAGCGAGTAGCCTTGACAAGCTAGTAACTTTTTAGTATCTTTGTCAACGTCTTATTGAATATCGGCGATAAAGCTTACACAGCATATTGCAGATATTTCGTACATTAATAATACGTTTAACAGTGCCGAGGTAGATCATCCAAAAGTTTAATTACAAAATAAGATTTTCAATTGATCCTTACTTCGGTATCAGATATTTCAAAATCAACGCCAGCAAGTGCCAACTGATATACGAAAACGGATCCTCGTCGTAGCTCAAATCTCAGGTAATTCTTACTGACACATAGCCATTTTCATGGACGGTAACAATATCCTGATTTATATCAAGGACACATATCAGCCCGTACCATAATATATAAATCACGTGAAAATGCGTACTCCGGGCATTATTAAATTTTCCTCATATTTGCTCTTCTTGTAAATATGGCCTTTTGAAAATTCTCACCCTCTCTCCGTATTTTGGGAGCCTGTAGAATTATATCTGTAAAAGAAAAGTTTTGTCTAATAAAAAGAACTTTTGTTTTACAGATATACAGTTGTATATCTAATAAAATATACAAGACCCTAATTAAATAAACAGAATGTAATACGTTACAAAGTAGCGTTGCGTTACCATCAGCAGTTCAGATCCACTTGAATTTCATATACCTTGTATTATTCAATTTCTCCGAATTCAGTTATGCGTCTCAGGAATGGTTCTCGTCCTTCCATATGAATGCTGGGTCAGGATTTGAGTAAGAGAGTACCTATCGTTGCCGATGCTGTTTCGTAACAGGTACTTATCCAAGTTGATTTAATTGGTTTCGCCAATCCGATTAGCGGCTGAAAGCATATCTAAGATCGTCTTAATTTCTCCCTTACCGGCTGGTAGCCAAAGTATCCCCGATCGCTGCTTAAGTACACTCGAGTACGAAAACTTGGCCAAGAGTTCAATTAGCCCCTGCGGCTTCTTCGGGAAATTGTCCACTGTGCGAAATCTTCAAAGAAATTATTGAGAGTGGTGACTGGATGAAGAATAATAAAGGTGCAGCGGACGCGAAAGAGGTTCCTGAATGAAGAAGGAAAAAGACGTTGAGAATATTGACAGAACTAGAAATAGGTAGACGGAGAAAGAAAGAAAGAGAAAAAGAGAGAGACGAATAAATAGAATCCCAGCAAGATAAGATAGGAAAGTTTCTGAGAATTTTTCTAGAAAAATTTTCGATAATCGATCAATCTCGAAGCTTTGATATTTTAATAGAACCAAGCAGGTTGGCCAACGGGAGAAATAATTTGACACTAGCAGCCTCACGCTGTTCGTCGAATAATATTTTTCTGATTTACAAATGAAAATCTAGTTACTTCTTTCTTTTTTGTCTTTCTCTTTTTTCCTTCGCATACTTACCTCTCGTCCAAGAGCAGCGGTACTCGAGCGGTAGCCAATCAATCAATTGTTCAAGAGAGATTATTTGCAGTGAGAACGCCATTATTTAGGATGTCATGTACCGTGGAGGTATTCTTTCGCTGAAATGTAAATCCTCCGTTATTTCGTCAAGGAATCAGCATGAAGATTCGCTCGAAGAAGCACGTCTGCCTTTATTCTCAATTCACTATTCTGAATCTTTACAACCTTTTGTAATATGTTATACCATATATAATATACCTGTAGTATACCTCGTATATTCATATAATATACCCGTAGATGCATATACATATATACAGGTACATGGTAGCACCTAAAGCGTTGACAGAATATTGATCGCCATTATTAATAACTCAGCATTGTATCGAAGTTTCTGTCTTCAGTATAATATAGTTATAAAAGGATACATCTAGCTCGCGATTTAAAAAGGCACTGCTACGATGGAAAAAATCTAAAATGGAGAAAACAGTATTTTTGACTCAATAAAATTCTATGTGAAACGTGCATAGGCGAAAAATGTTAAGTCAGCCGATATTTATGACTCCGATAGAACATTATGCAAAGATTTTCCCAAACCCATCCCGTATCGACCTATTTAAATCGGTATTTGCGTATCCCTAAATTATGGGAATTCCAATAGGGAAATGGATACTTTCTAAAAAAAGAAGTCAATAAATTATCGTTAATCCAAAATTAATAAGAGCGTGTGAAGGACAATCTCACAGATCGTACAGAATTATCTGTTATCAATTTTATAGAAATATTTTTACCCCTATCAAAATTGATCTCGGGATAAGAGAACCAAGCGGATGCTTCTGCCTCGAAGAAGCCTTTAACGTCATAGACTATAACAGTACTGCTAACGTAGAAGGACGAGCCTCATGGTGAACTTGTCATTAAATCAAAGTACATTTTAAGTACTTTCACAGAAAAATCACTTAAGTTTACGGTTCTTTTTTCCAAATTTCCTATAAGTTTTTAGTGTATAGTTGGGACATAATTTTAGTATACTGTAACTAACATTACGATATTTACACTAACTTGCATCTAAAGTTTACGTCAAATTTGCACAAAAGTACTGTAAGTTTCAATTGTTTTCTCAATGAACTCAAATCCTCTAGGGATTTACAATGAACTGAAATACGTCGATTCTTAAGCAGATTCTTCTTATGACTTGCGTAACTTTTCATATGAATTTTAAAAAAATTTAATATTTTATAACGAAAATATGACCTTAGTAGTATCCTCCGCGAGGAAGCTGTTCTGCCTGGACGCTTTCCGGTAGTAAACGAGGATTTATCAGAGCAGCTTAGATCCACAACCTGGGGTTATTTTATCGTGGTTCATGTCGAAGAGACTTCTGTTCGTTTTATGGTCGGTGCGCGGGCGCCTTAAGCTTTCGTATGCTGTGTTGATAGTGGAGTATCGAGATTGCAGGTTACAATTTCGTAGTTCGGACGTGACAGATCTATCTACCGGATGAAAAATGGCCGAATGTTTGTACTTCGTGTGCTGCAGTAAGTGAGGACGATATATATTATACTACGCTGACAGATGAGGAATGTCGACCATTGAAGGCAATTCGGAGGCAATGTGTTTTCATGAAAAATTAAACGGCAGGGCCATGTGCCTGCAGGTTAAATGAAGTTGAAAATGAGAGACAAAGTTTTTTGTTTTCATATACAACCTGTCACAGCAATAAACACGGATTTATCAATGTGGGTCACTGCTCACAGGATCTTTTTTATGGTCTGCAGCATCTCAGGTACTTTGACGCTTTTATGAGATTTTCCGGATTCGCGTCGTTAACCTTTTCAAAGTCTGTATCGGATACAAGGAATCTTCGTAGAGTCAAGAAAGTCGTACATACCCAGTGAAAACATTAGAGGATGTCTGTTGTCTAGATTAATTTTTGATTATCCGAGATAAGATTTCTGAATTTTCTTTACGTTTCATTCGACACGGTTTATATTACATTTCGATGAATACACTAGTCGCCATGTTTATTTTCTCCGAACGTTATCTCGCGCATGCGCTGTCGGCACTCGGGGTACAATTTTCTTACGAAACCACCACTTTTATCTATCCAACCTTATTTTAGACTCTTCTAACCATGACGTAACTTTGTATGTGTTTTGTTCTCTGATATTACCTTCGTCCCAGTACTTTTTATTATGTCTCCATCCATTTTTCTATTTATTGTATTATTACCTGTCACTCTTAATCATCTTCTTCCAACACTGGCACATACATTCGACAAGTAATTACACTGCAAATACAACTTCGTCAAATGTCTTGATTATCTTGACGCGTATCGCAACGAAAAATATAGTGGATGTGTGTTTTTGCCTGAAAAAAAAGAGCAAAGCTTGTGTATCTACGTGGGTACCTTGTTACTCGATTTCACGTATGTGAATGGAGTCAAATTGGAATAAAAAATAGGGAGCAGCGAGTACGAAAAAGAAATCAGAATATTTGCATCTAAATTCGTGTATGGTGAACCCGGCTTTAGCGTTTGTCATTGGCGTAAATAATGCAGTTGCTCTTTTTTTAAAATCCTTTTCTTATAGCAGTATTAAAGAAAAATACAGATATATTGCCAAACTAGCCTTCGGCTAAAATATACACAGCATCTATGATCCTGAAATAATCTGGATGATCTCTCTATGCAAATTTTCCAATGTGACGTTCGCCAAAATCCCGGCTGAGAATTCTGGCACGATTCTATATTGGACGTTCCCTCAGGATTTAGTGGATTCGTAATAAAATCGTCGTTAAAATGACGTACGTCCTTCAGATATGAATCTCCGACGGCTATTCAGGACACTCACATCCTTTCGTCTCGCATTTTCCTGGCTCTGAATTTTTGCGTAATACGTAAAATTGACATTCTTTTTTCTTTTAAACAGACCACTAGAGCTTTTTTTTTACACTGACTCATGCCCTTTTTTTTCTTTCAGATTCACAGTCACTGTGCCAGCACCATTTTTTATATACGTTTCACAGTCGATAATCATTCGGAGCATCACGTAACGATAACGATAATCTTCGAATAAATATTATCAAGGAATATAGTTTCGTTCTTCTAGCTCCAAGAATTTTCTTATTAACAATAAAAATTGTACCTGTGTGAAATTGTTCGCCATGGAAATATCCGCATGCTTCATGGTTCCGTAAGTTTTACACGATGAAATTCTCGCGCAGGGATATTTTCTTGTTCACCTATGCACGAAGTGCAGTGAGATGGAGATGGAAAAACGTTTGCGTAGATAGAGATATATAAAACTTGGAGTAAACGTGCAATTTTCAAAATCTCTAAAGAACCATCCTGTCTCAAGGTATTCTCTATCCCTTTTTTATATGCTATAAGATTAACAATGACCATAAGTCAGAATAACGTAATTCGTTGCCTGAATGCGTTTATTAGTTTGTATAATAATGATATCAGGGATTACAACATTACGCAATATCTATTCCAGATAAGTTATTACAAACGTTACAATAACGTCACACAATAATATTCAGAGGCTGTTTAATGATTAACAATTGATTTTCATGTAGGTACACAGTAAGATTGACCAGTCTATTATCAGTAATGAAGAAGAGCTCCAGTTCTAAGACGGTGAAGAGTATATCTAAAGGGTACAAGATGGAGCAGTTAATTTAAGAAGGAGCGTAAGAAATGCAGTAAAACCCAAGGAAAGAAAATCTCGGAAATGGACATGGAATCCTGGCGTATAAGGATGCTAGAACGTAGGTTGGTCCAGGAGGAGGAAGCTGCTTGCTAACCAGCCAACCTAGCTAGTTCCTAGCCTGAGCAGGCCAATCCAGCTTAGCCGGTCAGCTAGGTGGAAGGAAGGCAAGAAGCTATGAACGAAGGAAGAAGGAAGCTGGTCTCGAGGTATTGCTTCATTAATCATTCTCACCTTTTAGCTGCTGCTGCTTCTTCTTCTGGTGGAAAAAGAGCTTTTACTAACGTTCCGCCTTTTTACGATTAAAGGCGCTTTAAAGAGTCTTTAACCGGAGTGCAGATCAAAGATCGTCGCCATTGACACGAAGGCAGAAGGACGTGTAAGAAGAGTTGAAAATCCTTTGAAATTATTAGAGTAAAATTTTGAAACTCCTTTGCCGGAGGATAAATTTGAAATATTCCTGAGAGTTATTAGCTGGAAATGTATGCTGCATTGCATCTCTTTTGTAGGAAGTAAATGATTCATGGGTTATAGAGGACGTCGTGGATGATTCTTTAGCAGATATTTTTCAAGTATCGGAAACATGTCGAGGTTTGTATACGCTTGCGTATGTTAAAATGACAATATTGTATGGAATCGTGGAGATAAATCTTTCGATGTTTCCATACGCCTTTGCCAACAATGCCATATCGCATTTGGTCTTTGGCTCAATTATATTCTTATACCAAATTCAGTTCTTTTTTTTCTTTTTCCAGAAATACTATCGTGGCAGTCTTTCATTGGTTAATTCCGAAATTGAGGGTCACCCTGTATAGTCTGCCGATTACGTTATGGCACAGTCGCGACTTCCTAACTGTGGGTAGAAAAAAAAAAAGTTGGCAGCCCGCGAAATTGCTTTGGCTTAGTTCTGTCGTACCGTTAAGGCTAATTTCCTTTATTTATCTGGATACGGGCCGAATCGAGATTTTCCATTAGCAGTGTCCTGCGGAATTCAGATGCTCTAGAAACGAGCTTTTAAAACTATTAGAGGTGGGTAGCCTTAGGAAACAGTGAAAAGTTGGAGAAGGTGCAGACGCTAATAGAGTCAAGATAAAATTGTAAGGAAGCGAATTAGAGTTGATGCTGTTATTTATTTATTTTTTTTTTTTAAGGACTTAATAAATCAGACAAGCCACGTACAAGCAGCGCTGAGAAGGTGCACAAAGAAGCGCACACGGTACTTGTCGTGAGAATTTTAGAAAGAGATAAAAAAGTGAAAATGGACAATGCAACTGCTACAGAGAAGGAAATTCTAGAGAAAATTGTCGTTACTGTCATTACTGTCTCAGACACTATTTTCTTCAAGAATAAGTGCTGCAACACGTTCCTGATGTATACCATCAGTAGGAACAATTTCTCAGAGACCAAGACTCAAAGAATGAGATGTATTTTGGTTTCGTTGCTTGATAAAAGTGGACCAGCTTGAGTGGCACTCCATGCCGTAAGAAATTGGGCAACCCTCCGGGTAATTAATTAAACAAATTGCCCGTAGCTAAGCATTACGTGGTAGATTCGTTATAACTGGTGAAAATTGAAAATTTCTTCTCAAGACGGATGAAAATTTGAATCTCCTTTTTAGATACCGTGCTAATTATTCTTTCTAAGCGCATTACCATCTCCCAAATTCAAAAGAAGACAAACACTTGGATCCCTGTGCATGGTATAATTACTGTGCGCTGGCATTGACAGATTTACGAGTCTAAATCGTTAAGGGCGGGTAAATGGATGGGAAAATAGCGAAGGGTAAAATTGTCACTCTTTTTTTTTCTTCCACTCGCCTTTAAAAAGTCTTCGTTAAGGTATACCCAGAGACCAATAACGACCTAAAGCCTATTCTAATTGCCGTGATTCCGCCTGACGAATTCTCAACACGCCTTTTAGTTACAGTCACGTATTTTATTTTTAAACCAATAAAAGTCCGGACCATTTTCCATTTTAAGTGGAAAAGCGAAAATTTGTCAATTGGAGAAAATTGGAAAAATTTTAAATAAAAAAAAACTGCTACAAAAGCAACACTCGCAGTACCATGGCAAAACCATTATACGGAAATCGCAGTAAGAGTCTTCTACCTGGCACAACCGTACTCGTCGAACCCTGCGAGTTCACGTTTCTTGGGAATTTTTCGATCTTCCCCAGGCTAACGATAAGGGCAGCGTCGGCGTCGGCGTCGGCGTCGGTAGCGCGGGCACAGCGGGTGTCGGCCGAGCGCCGACGAGTAAATTGAAGCGATCCATTATATGCCGGTGTCGGGTTATCTGGGGGTGAGTTGAAGATGAAAATGGGTGTCAGTTCGGTCCAACCCCTCCTACCTCGACCTTTCACCCCCCGCCGTCTTACCTGTCTCCTGTCGGTATAATATGCTAACGCATTTTCCCACGGTACTTTTTCCAGGATAATAATTCTTCGCTACAGAAATGCACATACTCCATTTCGTAGTCTTATATTCAAAAAAAAAAAAAAAAAAAAAAAAAAAAAAAAAAAAAAAAAAAAAAAAAAAAAAAAAAAAAAAAAAAAAAAGTAAGGATTTAGGTAAAAAGAACACTGAGTTCGATAAGGAAAGAAGAAAAAAAACAGCACAATTTAGTAATGCTATCAATAATTCTTTTCTTTTTCTTTTCCTTCTCTTTCTTCCAATAGCATGTAGTCGCACGCAACGCGTGCGATAGGTGGTAACAATGATAGATAAAATAACTATGCGATATAATCTTTTCTGAATCTCGATACAATTATGTTTCTTTTTTTTGCTGAAGATTCGCCTTTACGGCCTATTTACAAATCTACAAATACGTAGTAACAGCACATTAACAATTGTAATAATATAGCAATAACATTAACAATGAATCCACTTATACTCGATAATTAAACTATGAAAATTCAAGATCATTTCTCTCCCCACTCCTCCTGCACGTTCGTTTCTATTGCTTCTTCTCTTTACCTTTTGCGCCTTAAAATTTTGGTTATTACGCGGCCGTCGCTTGCACGCGCGCATTCATGTATATATATCTTGTGTATTTATAAAGAGGTAATATCGAGTCGTGATATATAAACTGGCATGTATAACAATAAGGTTCGTCCCAAAAAGGTCATGAAATATTTCAAAAAATATATATATATATCGCAGGTATCTCTGCAGTATACGAATTCGTTTCGTTTCGTACATATACTATATATTTACATAAAATTATGCATAATGTACAATACAATTGCTATCACGATCCACCGTGCCCGTTACGTTATCGATTCGCACCGTTTCCACAAAAAAACACCTGCTGCCATTACGAGGAGACCTTTAATTGACAAATCGTCTTCGTCAAAATGCAATAGGATTGTTATAAAAAAAAATCAAATATTTATAATCGTCCATCGGATATATAGTATTGCATGAAATATATAAATACAACATTATACACGGTTTGTTTTGTACCTTTCGCTCTTTTCATTTCTTTATTTTCACAGGGAACTTCCATACACGGCATCCGGTTTGTTATTCGTTTGCGAATGTTCTTGTGCGTTGGGGTAAAATAAAAAATGGCACGAAATGCCGCGAAAATTGTCTGAGAGAATGGAGAGGGGTGAGAAATTCCATGGAAAATTGGAAAGAAATCCCTAGGCGACGCCAGGTGTCGGGACGGTAATGCGAGGACGACTCGACTCCATAAAAATCGGCGAGAATAAGCGGCACGTGTAGCTACAATGAATACTCCCCATTTCGTTGGGTCCTACCAGTAAAGATAAGTGGGACAGTCAGTCAATAAGTCCCAACACAATAATGGCGTCTGTCTCAGGTTAAGATTGCGCGTAAGCGTCGAGTAGCGCGAGTGCGACATATTAATTTATTACGAACACATCTCGCGATGAAACCGGCCCCCCTTTGCTCCCCCTTAATGTTTATTAACGAGAGAAACTACAAGGCGGTTCCAAAATTGATTCTAATAAAGCTATTTAGCACCCGTAAACCGTTTGACTGTTAACGAAGCTTCGTCCATAAACGCTGCGAACACGTTTAACGCCAGAGAACCTGGCGATTAATCGGAAAAACATCCGCGAGGAGCGCTCCAGTCGTTTCTACAGTACCGACGCGACAATTTATAAGTTAAATTGGTTAAAAACAATAATGGTCGTATAAATCTCGAATTTACAGCAAAGTAAACCGAGACAAATAAAACCGTAGCAATAACCTGTCAGCCACGGATTCGCGCTAGGTTAGACCGATTTATTGGTAAACATATTAACCCCTTTACACACGCAAGTAATCCTCAACTGATGAGATAGAGCGGTGAACTTTAAAAATAAAAGCTACTACTGTACGAATGCTTCTAGAAATTACACTCGCCTACGTAATGTACGTATTTACGCGACGATCCTCGCCAATATCAGTTTGAAGCCTTCCTGCGGCTTTCTCAATTCGTGGTTTCCCGCATTCAGGAATTCGGAGTATCTCAGCTGATCTGGGTACAAGCTCGCCATACCCGTCCTGCCACTGTATGATCCAGCGAGCCGTACTATACCCAGTCTAACCTATGAACCTAACCTAATTCACCCTATATCGAAGAGCGCGTACGGGGACGCATTTCCTTGAACTCCCAGGAGACGAACGTTAGAGTTCCCGAGTACCTGGTGAACTTTCCGCAATAGGTTTTACCGGTTTCTCTCTCTCGACCTCAACAACTAGAACGATCATCTCCATTAGCTACTAGAACGCTGATCGTAAAACGGAATAAAAAGTTCAGGCACTTGTCGAACACGTGGACGGACTGTACCGCACCAGGGATCCATCTTGAGTCTCTCTCTCCTGATCTCCCTAGGTCCATCCCTGAGGACGTGAGGCTTCAAGGAACATCGTCGTCGTCTACTTTAACTAAGTTCCTGACCATTCGCTGCGGAATCGTTATGTCCGCCAGGGGCTCTGGGTTACGCGACGATGTCCATATCCGACGAGGAGTTCGACGTGGTTGGTGCAAGACTGCCAAGTGTGTCTTCGTCAGGTAGAGGATGATGGCACGCTGGAGCCGGTGGGCTTAACGGCGGAAGAATAGGCGAGGAGAGCATTGGGTCACCACCGTGCACGGGTCCCCCAGTGTCATCCTCCATGAGGTCTTCGAGCTGGGACATGCTCAAAGTCGACGCTTCCTCAGCAACCACTTCCGGCATCTGCCACACGAACTTCCGGGCCTCGGCTTCTCTACTGTCATCTACAATCTGATCAATAAAAATCACAGTTTGACATTGTCCATTATCATTGACTTTTACAAAATATACTATAGCCTCGCTACCAAGCTCTATACGTCACTTCCGGCGTCTCAGTCTCCCTATACTCAAAATCCTTATTTTTCATTGCTACTTCAACTTCAATCCACCCAATTTATTCCTCCTTCTCTTCCTTTCCCCTCTGCGCGACTCCTTGCGAAAAATCCACGAAGATCTTCTCGTTGAGGAGCATCGCGACTGACGCACCGGATGCGACAGAGCTATCGATCACGTCAACGAGCCACTAGTCCAGACCAATTTAGATATTGATCTTAATCACCTCATCAAGGCCGTCTGTCATGTAACAACGAGGCAGGAACTTGCGCTCGATTTCAAAAGTCCGATACACACGTGTGCGCGAATACTCCAAGGCAACTTCACACTGCGCGAGGAGCGCACTTCAGGTAGGTTAAACGTTCTTCCAAAGTGTTACACAAGCTGTGCCAGAAGCTGGCATATATATTGCGTAAGTTCTGTTCCAAGTGGAAAAAAAAAAGAGAAAAAAAAACATCGTCCCGACGCCAATGACGCGTCTCTCTTATTATCACTCTCCGAATTATCTAAGTGGAGTGCTGAATTTACGAGGCCTGGTGTGATGACTTTACGATGACGACACACAGGTGAAGCGAGAATGACTATACTCACAAACTGTACACCCGTGTACTAATATTTTATTTTATTCTCTCTCTCTCTCTCTCTCTAATATTCTTTGTATCCCACTGTTCTTCTTCGAAATATTTCATCTACGGTTATTATTTCGTGGTACAGGTGAAAATTTTCGTATTTCACATACACCCCGTACAATCTTCGAAATATCCATAGAGCAGGTATCCACGATAATTCCTATAAATTTTTCCGATAACAAAGGATCGTGCAATAATTTTACAAATTTAAAGCGCCGACACACGTTCCGCGTCCAAGCGGTGGGATCCATTGCGTAAGTAACTTTTAGAGGTACGTTATAATAAAAAAATAAAAAAAAAAAATTACCGATAAGATAAAAAACAGGTAAATTTTTTTCTGCACGTGCCACAATCTCCGATTAGTGCAACTGGGAGAATATGGCCATTCTGTCACAGTGAATGCGACTGGAAGAGAGCGAATTCTTATCAGTGTTTAAACTTCTAGCTCTTGTCCCGGTGCTGCGTACTGCCAGGCACGACAGTCGTTTATCAATGATAATAATCGTCAAGATCCCGCGACGTAATGATTTAAATGTTAATTCTCTAGAAAGACAAGATACGGTTATAAATCATAAAAAATAGTAAAAAGAATACCGAGTTTTAGCCGATGTTCACTAAAATTGCGCACTTCAGTGCACAATACGGGTGCGCACGTACTATTGACGGCATCTCGTTACCGATATGACTGACGTCAATGACAAACTTATAGAGTCCCACGGGCGTTCAGCAATTTCCATTCGATTCGTATCGATACTCGATTAGCGTCACCTACTTTTGAAATCCAGAAGCAATTTCCTCGTTTGAGATCGCGACGACTGTTTTGTCGCCGTGTCGACGCCTTCGCTACGTAACCGAGCGTTGACTACGTCTCAAAGTCATTCACACCGGGGGAATGAATCAAGACCAAAAAACAAATAGTTATGAAGTTCGAAAAAAAAAAAAAATTTCGTGATTAAAAAAAAGGGCAAGGAGACTGCACTCGATGAATTTGACTAATATATTGTACCTTCCGTTGATCGGGTTTACTCTTGACGTAGGTGTTGAGGACCGTTCCGGAAGTTGTGGCCCAGCTGAAATCCGTAACCGGAAGTCCATGGGCTTTGGCTTGAAGCTCGAGTTCCTGAACCCGCAGAAGTAGCCGACGATTCTGATGCTCCAACTGTTTGTGCCTCAGTTCACTTTGCTTCATCCTCGTCAGTTCGTTCTTTAATAACTTTATATACTCCACCGATGACTTCAGGATTGTTCCTTTGTTTGGCCTTACGTCCCTCACGATCTCATAGTATCTGAACACACAGTTAAAATTTCACCTGTATTACAAATTCAATATCGCGAAACGAGAGTCGCGTTCGGTTGGCGTTTTGAAAAATTTTTTCATCCGAGCCACTCGAAATTCCAGTCCGTATCGTCCGATGAAAATACTTTGGCAACGTCGGATCTTCCTCGAGTCGCTGGAGACTCCTTGCGCCGGTGCACGGGACTTAAAGGGGGCATATAGATAGCAAAGTTGTAATTTCAAAAGTTCCCCATGATCCGCTAATATTTCTATTAAAAGACCCATACACATTTTTCCATAATATTATTTACCTGATAAACGTTAAGCTCGATTGACCAGGCACGAAGAACCAAAAAGTATATTATAAAAAAAAAAAAATAATATTATCATAAAAATATACTTCCCCAAATAAAATTCTCAACACGTACATCAGTTACTCCCTTTATCGTAACGCCTGAGTGATAAGAGGCAACCCCGAAGTTTTACCTCGAAGCCAGAAATATCAAATATCAAAGGTTTCCTAAGCCACGCCCTAGCGGCGAGATTACGAAGCTCCCCGGGTTAATACAACAGGTCTCGCTGGGTGGAAAAGTAGCGTTCAGTTAGGCTGGGTTAAGTCAGCATCCGTAACGGATTTCTAAGCTAAGAAGGTTTAATTCATTTCTTACTTCCCAACCGGAAATACAGGAAGTCACGAAGAGTCTCGTGAGCTTAGCAAATTCAATATACATATATATTACACCGGCAAGCATTACGAAGAACAGTGCTGCCATCTGCGCCTCTATCCACAGCGACAGCACCAGTCCTGAAACGTCAAGGTACCCAAAGTGATACCCCTGCCGCCCAACGGGGTTCGGGCGCATCATCGAAGTGGATTTGTTAGTCGATAAAAAGGGCGGGAAATTCAAAACGACATAGGTGAAAAAGGTAGGAAAAATATTTAAAAATCCTTCGGGGCATTCAGTCGCTTAAAGTAACTAACCGTGACACCGCTTACACCGTAGTAATATCTGTATCATGTTTGTCCGTGTCTTTAGAAACGAAGCGTTACGTTATCGCCGCGACAGCCGACAGCTTGGCTGCGTTTTAATGTCGTCGAGAGTGGAAGCTAACGATTCGTGCAAAGGAATTGCCACGAGATTAGCTTCGGCGACGATTATGGAAAACTAGGAAACCGTTGGGATCCGCAATGCAAATTTTCCAGTCGCTTTCAAAAATAAGAAAACGTAACAGGCGAGAAAAGGGAAAAAAGGACGAAAAAAATGCAACACTTCTCCCGAACGTTCCCACAGAGTGCATAACAACTGGTGTGTAAGGTACTAGAGGATTGGCTTAGGAATTTTCAAGTCCTACGGTGCTCGGCTGACACTGACAAATGGCTGAGAAATTCGGATTGATTAATGCCGGAATGACAGGCGCGTTCCTCCCGGTAACAAGAGCAGTCGTTAGTACGCCTTCGAGTGGCGGGATAAAATTTTTTATCTCGACTGTACGCGAGATTTCCCTTAATCGCGAATTAACGTATACCATTAAAAATCATTTCGAGCCGCTCGTTTCAACGAGGCGACTTCGTTTATCAATACTCCTGGGGAGAACTGAACTTCCGCACGGTTCTTGCTATAGTAATTAACGCTACTAATTTATGAAAATTAATTAACGCCGCGTGACATACTTTTGGGTAAAGATATATATATATATGTATAATAAAAATTCAAAACGCTCCCGTCTATATACCTCGGCAGCCACGTGTATAACTATATACACCGATCCTTATGCCTATTTCAATCGAACGTGCAATTCAGCTCAGCGCGAAGGACTAGCAGTAATTCGGTACCGACGGTCGACCTAACCTAACAGAAATAAAAATTAAAATTTCAACTCCACGTCTTCGATCCAGTTGGCACTGATTATCGCAGTCGTGCGTATATGAATTTTACATACGAACTTTTACATTTCTTTCCCGAAGATGGTCCTAAGGATCGGTCAACGGACAAGGAAGACCCGGAAACAAGGTCCGAGCGAAATGGTCACCGAAAACTAAATACAAATCGATGGTCAGCGACGAAGAAGGGACGAAAGGAAAAAAATAAAATTTGAATCCAGAAGTAACGATAAAAATAAAAGTAAAGGCGTGTACTCACGGGTCATTGGTCTTGGGTAAGAGTGTACCGAGTTCCTTGATTCTGTCGTTGATGTTGAACCGTCTTCGTCGCTCGACTGAAAATACGAAGTAACAATGATCAATAATCAACCAAATAAATAATTCAAACGCTTAATTAGGATCTTAGGCACGGTTGCCTAAGTCACCCTGTGCAATCGATAATCTCTCGGCGACGTTCAGATAAGAGGTTTATTTTCATCGAGCGATTAAATTCACCTACCAAGTGCTAAAGATTCGCGTTTCCATTGACCAAGAACACGACGGCCGTACGACATTATGATAATCGATTAACGAAAAAATTCATTCTACGAAATCCCGATTACTGTTTTTACATAAGAAAATAATAGCTTCATTATTTTTTTTTAATCAAAAATCAATATTCCTCGAACTCCGAAGATTCGACCAATAATTCACGTGCCTCTTGGATTGTCCAAGTATACGTAGTCCGAAAGAATCCGATGCAGGTTAACGCTAGAAAGACCGAAACTTAGTATACACCTATATTGCCCAAAGCAGTCAAAATGACTGCATTGTGAAAGAATAACTAATGCGTAAAGAAATTTGTTTAACACTAAACCTACCAGAGCGGTCAAACGACAGCTTTTGAGACTTTAATCAAAATTTTTAAATTCCAGGTTTTTATTTTTCTTCAACTTACTGCACGACTATGCTAAATTCTGTATTAATTACAATCAACTGGAAAAGACTATAGTGTTTATTTCAAAAGCGGTCATTTGACCGCCATCGGTAGAAATAGGTATATATAACATGTCGGTAGGTTTAGTGTTAAAATTAATTTTTAATATTTTTTATATTATTTACAGTTATATACCTCTATTCGACATTTCTTTCATGAATTTAGGGCACAAGAGAAATTAAATAAACAACTTGTTAGAACAAGTATCACTGCATAAAGATTCGAATAACAAGTACTACTTTAGCTTATTGAGCAACTGCGACTTATCAAGTATACGGCCAAATCGAAAATTTATCATGCACTTGTATGTTATCATGTGACGATAATCGAAAAAAAATGAAAACTGTTATTTCAATACAGAGCCGAACTGGTCATATAAGAAATTTACTCAATTCAATAATAAGAGTCCTTTGATTATTTAAAATTTCCCAAGCAGTCGAAATGACTGCTTTTGGGCAATATAGGTATAAAACATATATATATACCGGAAATGAAGGAGGGGGGAGGTTACTACAATTATTAATAAACGCATTTATATGTTGTAGAAAAAGTCACAAAGAAATTGTGTCATTATACACATGTTTTTCTAATTGAAATTAAAAAGCAGTCAAAATGACTTCCTTGGGCAAGAAATGACTGCTTTTGGGCAATATAGGTATAAAACATATATATATACCGGAAATGAAGGAGGGGGGAGGTTACTACAATTATTAATAAACGCATTTATATGTTGTAGAAAAAGTCACAAAGAAATTGTGTCATTATACACATGTTTTTCTAATTGAAATTAAAAAGCAGTCAAAATGACTTCCTTGGGCAATCTAGTGTTAAGAAACGAGAAGAGTAATTCATTCTTCAGGTATAATTGACAATCGGCTCAGGGACTTCAGCCATTATCCAGACACGGATACTTATCGTTATAACGTGCAATCTGTGTCGTTATGCATTTTATGTACAAGACGTTGTTGAATGAGGTAATACTGTACAGTGGGCATTGTTATTATTATCGCGCACCTTATATACACGTAAACCATACATGCATGACCTCCTTTATCAATGAAGATAATGAATTCTCAATATCGCATATACAGACAGTCACGTTACGACATAGGGAGAACCGTGGCTACGGGTGAGAATTAAGAAGGTTAATTGAATAAAAAATATTGAAAACACAAAAAGTAATCAGAGTAGCACTGATAACGATACGGGGTTATTAAGGATTGTAAAACCCGAAGGTGGTTCCGCAACAGGAATCAAATGGGAGCTAAAGTCATTTTTCAGCCGCACGGAGTGCACGTAGCTCTACGGAATTGTTCAGGTCAAACGCACCACCCTGAAGTTAGTCCCTGCTCGTTTCATTTCTATTGTAGAACCAACTTCAGTCGCAAAGGGCATACGTCCGACCGACTGCTGTTACTTTGTATCGGTAAGTATCGATATACGTGATTGACTAAAATGACGTTCAAGGTCAAGCATAGTGACAATCATATAACGATAATTGGCTCAATAAATACTTCCATGTCGTTACCGTTGGTAACCATGATACTAATATTTTTTGGATAAAAAAAATGTGACGCGTACGATTAATATAATCGTCTAAAAATATTTTTACGTCAATTTTACATAATAAATATTATTATCGAAAATTATTTTTCGCCGATACGCAAGAAGAGGGCAGGTTTGAAAAAAAAAAATTTTCACAATTTTTCGTACTGGCCGCTAATGACTTTGTCGAACGTAGGCCTTGACGATTCATCGAGTCGACCCGCGCTCGTGCAGTGGTCCAATGATAACAATAATAAATCTTACACGTGTTCGGATGGGATCAATGAAAATAGCAATACGTGACCGCTAGTGCAATAAAAAATAAAAAGAAAGATCGCTGATGATCTAAGGATAAATCCATCGAAAGAAAGTTAATGGATCACGATGAAAAGATCCGTGGGATTTAAACTCCGGTGATTAGATAAACGGCGGCAAAACGACTTAGAATTGATCGAAAGCATACATCGATTTTACCCGTGATCCGAGTATCCTGTTTAATTAAGATTTAGACCAGAGTCGTGCTTTCTGATTTACAAAGCTCCCCTGTGATCTTTGATCCACGGGTAGCTGCTGGGATTTAGATGGGTATCAACGTGTAGAATTTCGGATCTCCATCGCAAGTAATTAGTTACGTTGGGCGAACCCGATAAGATGTCCCTATTATAAGCGACAGTTATACCAACGGACGACCGATAAGGTGTCGTATTGAAAAAAAAGTGACGAGTGTCGATAGTAAGTCAAAAGAAGAAGAAAAAATAAGAAAAAGAGAAAAGCAAAAGAGTAACGATAAAACTCAATCCTTTGAAATCATAAATGATGCGTATGGGGATATAATAACAATAACGATAATAATAATAGCGACTAGTGGGATATCGGAAAGAAATATATATATATATACCCTACCGATTTGTCAGATTAGATAGTGCCAGTTTAATTGGCAGCTTCCAATATACACGTCGAATCGAAGACGTGTAATTGACAATGTATCATATATCTCTTAATCCTTATTAAAAACATTAATAATTCTCATAGCGTTGTTCGTGTAGGTCACGTGTGAGAAACGTGATACGAATCAAATATTTTCTTTTCTGTCTGTATCCTGTATCCGCATATATACATTTCGTGTATGTATATATATATATAGAGTAGTTTCCCTAAAGCGTTAGCATACGTGCCTATGAGTATATATATATATATATATATATATCTATATATATGTTATCAGGAAAATCGGAATTTTCTCACTGCCATCGTGTCAACTCCCACAGCGAGTATTGACGTTTTGCCAGAGATTGGCCAGGTTCCCGTTAACGGGGACCGTTTCCGGCGTACCGACGGTATCAAGGAAAATTGCACTGTCTACGTCATATATATATATATACATACATATATATATATATATATATATACATACATACATATATATATATACATACGTATGTATATACCGCATTGATTCTGAATATCAGAAATTCCATTTCAATTTCATTTCCCTGGTTTACCTGTCGTAAATTTATTCTTATAATTCACATCAGGGGATTATCCTCTCGCAGTGATACCAACCGTACAGACAGAGTTACCTAGAGGAAATATAATTTGTAGTGCAATAAGAACATTAAGATTTACAAAGCTATACCTACTCATATTGTGATTGTCTTTTTTCTGCCGATCTTTCGCCAGAGCGTGTATTTCCGCATCCGTCAGTAACAAAGGTTCCGGTTTGACCTGCAGTTCCGGAAGATTCGGTAGACTTCCGCTCTGTCCGTCCTTAAGCCCGTCGCCTAACGAGCCAGCTTCGAAGGACAATATGTCGTCCAGGAGATCCTCCGCCTGAAAAAGAATTTACAATAAAGTCTATTTGCATCGAGGACCCGACAAATCAGGTGGGCACGTTGAGCACACACGTGAAGGCAGATACACAGTTGCCGGTTTATTATTCATTTCCCCAAGGCGCCGTCAACTCGATCGAATCGACTTATCGAATATCGTTTCGCGTTCGTATCTCGAACGTAACGATCGATAACATCGAAACGCGTCGTCGACGCCGAGTACAGTTCATGACGATACTTCGTAATGACAGTTAAAGAATTTAACGCGACGAAAACGCACGGTCGACCAATCGTACAGCCAAGAGTTTCACGGGACGAGGAAACCTTGATAATCCAATCGGACATATTGCGCGACGGACACTGGCAAAATCGAGTGACGTTTACTTTTAAGTGAAAGGTAAAGAAACAATGAAAACAGTTCCCACGGTGACGAACGTCATTAGGACTGCGAGTAAAGAAGAGAAGAATGGAGGCCAAATATTAAATGGAGGGGCTTAAAGGAGACAAGGATGATATACAAGGGCGCCACTCCTCGGTGGAAATTGGAAACGTACCATTGTAGGACAGTCGACTTTTAAATTAAAAGTTTCAATGGCTGGTACATTATTATTTATATTTTTTTCTCCAAAAAATATTCAAATTTCCCTACCTAACCTTACCTTTAATTATACTACTACTACTACTCGTATTATTATCCCTAAATTGTCCTCGACGACAGCTGTTACGGTACTTGTTACGTATTTACGTAGTTTGGTCTTGATGCGAGTACGTACGCGCATGCGCAAACGTTACGTGAACATTATTACGTAAACAATAATAAGCTACGAGTGCCGTGTCATGCCACGCTCGGTGCTTTAGGCCAAAAGAACGATCGGAATGTAACCTGCGAGATGAATCTTTTTTACCAATCAATCCGACGATCTGGTACCAACTTGAGCACGAGAAAAAGAAAAATAATAAATTACGCGGAATGACTCACTGTATATAGGCGGGTATATGGGCTTTACTATTTTCCTCGTAGTGTCACTTCTGAGAATGGTTCAGGGTCGGTTGGTAACGTAGCCGGGGGAAAGAAGAGCAGACGTGAAAGATTGGCAGCACTGGGACAATGTAAACTTGATACTTAGCGCGGGAAATTTAAATTGGTTATCGATGCTGCATTTACGTTAGAAAGTGCTATTGTCGTTGTCTTGTTTCGAACGATGACAATGCACGGAGATTTTACGACCTGTCAATAAATTTAATAAAAGTGTTACAAAATAAGGACAAAGAGACGGTTCGTGAATTTTGTCCGTTTGTCGGAGTTTTCTGTTAACTTTATTTGTTTTTACTGCAATGGCGCGAGCGTAACCGTGTTCATTTACGTGGCGCATTTATTTGTAGCGTTTTAACGATAAAATACTTTTTTTTTTCCTATTTTTTTTATTTTTTACTTTGTTTTCTATTATGAATATCCCCGAGCAAACGTCACGAGCGTTATGCGTGGAATATCGAATGATGTATGGCTCTGGTGAGCACACGTGGACGGGAAATAATGTAGGATTGTAATTTTGCGAATTACTGTACAAGGCAACCACATCGTAAACACATTTATTGCAACCGCAGAAATGATGATGCTACGCCAATTCTATTCATCGCACGAATCATTTGACGGGCGAATATCACAGAGGATCGATAGATCGTTTCTGTGACAGACGAGATGATTTGAAACGAGTTGTATTAGAAAAATAAGAATATACTGCGATACAGATGTGCACCGGAGACCCAGAAATACGTCGAGTGATGTGAATATAAAAACAATTGTCGAAAAAGTCGCGTGAAATTATGAGGAAAAATAAAATTGTATACCCAAAACATACTCCCAGCACATAAAACTGTCTCGTCTCCGTCTCCGCTAGGTGTCGCATAGATGCACGTGCGGCAAGCAACTGCACTTGCAATTACGTAAATGAACGAAGATCGTAATTGCATACACAATTAAGTACCGTAAGCGTAGAAATTTATTGTAGTAGCAGACAGGGATCGCATATTGATTCCACCTACGGCTGCAGTACCGTACATTACGTCTGTATAGGAAGTTCGCTCGTAACGCGTGAAATATTTTGACGGTTAAATTGGGCGTGGGATTTTTGAATGCACTTTCTAACCTTGTAACAGGAATCGTAATTAACAACGATGCTGCTTGCACCAAGGAGGAAAGAGCATATTTAAGCAGTAACTGACACCGATTCTCGTCAGATACGGTGAACAGCACTTTGTGTAACTCAATATAACGATACTAGGCACGTGGAACCTACGGCGCATGCGCACACCAGGATCTGGCGTTTCAAACGCTTCTCGAAAATCGTTAACAAAATGAAAACTCGATAGCGAGTAAGTTACGACGTAGGATAAAGATTAAAAATATTTTTCTAGTACAGTCTGCGGAAAAATTATTTATCGGCACTCGCTGATCTTTTAATTAACATTTATATTACAGATACGCGTGTACGATAATATGTAAACAAGAAATTTGATCGTTTTACCTTGACGCATTTAATTTGTGTTAACCAACTAAACTAATTAATCGCGACAGAGTTGATACGGTGTAAAATGATATCAGCCGAGATTACAACTCGAATTTGGTAATCGCCCGGTACTTAATTGTATAATTCTTGAATTTGTCGTGTATGTTCATTATGCAAGCCTTTTATACTAGTGTATGATATGCCTTTTAATCTGTACGGTGTTGTATAAACAAGTGTAAAGGCGTAGAACAATCGTTTCCTTGAGGATGGTATATAGTTTCCTGATAATACACGAAAAATCTGAATTGACGATCTCCCTGAACTTTTGAGTGGGCTATTACACGATTATCATGATAACCACATGTAACGTGTATACTAATGGTTAGTAGTTTGACGTAAAAGTCTGAATATTTAAATGTTGGAAAGAATTATACATTTTTTCTTTTATAATAAAATTACGTAATCGATCATTAACATACTAGATTGTTATCAATGACTACGGCGATAACTTACTGTTGCGAATGCACTTTTCTCTATGGTCGGGTGGTATGACTGGTAGGATTGTGGATGCACGTGGGTAACGAGTGCCTTGCGCATGCGCCTTGAGTCGTTTTTAGCAGACGATGCAATTCTCGTTGCAAGAGACGAAGATAAGGGGGGAAAATAAATTGAAGCAAGAATAATAACGAACGACGTACTTATTTCCAAAATCAGAATAATATCTTGTCTGTAGATACGACTCATGTTGTAGGTCGTTATCTTATCGCCGAAGAAGACAAGATCGAAAACTTCGCCCAAGGGAACACTTTTCGTGGCTTCCGAACGAGGAGCGATATCGTTAAAATATTTGGTAATGTTATGAAAACGGTGTGCCGAATTTCAAGAATCTTACCGAGTACGGTAATAGGCGTTATATAAAAACGAGACTTTAATTTGTTTAGCCTTGCGACTCACCTTACATCTCCTGGCGATTATGTTGAAAACCGGCATCGTGGTAACACGGCTTGAGCACTCGACCTGTCTGTACTGGCACACGAAAGTTTTCAAAGATCCACTGTATTGCACCCGTAGACGTTCAGTATTGGTTCGAAATCATAACGGCAAAGAAAAAGTGAAGCGTGTCCCTCTTGTACGAATGTTATTTTCACTGTTACGGAATATATCGAAATTCGAAAAATCCTTGTCAGCGTAGCCACCAGCAAGCAAGGTTTCCTTCACAAGTATCCCAGAGGGCGCCCCCCCAAATTAGTTCTGTCCTGGCAGTTCGCCTTTTTTTATTTTTTTAAATCCTTCGTCACCTCGTACCAATTTTTCCAGCGTCACAACAGTGTCGCATTCAAGGACGCGATTTTCCCCTAGCCAGAATTCACGTTACCGCAGTCCTCTAAGGCGAGAAGAATTAGGCAACTAAATAAATCGACGGCGCCACTGGTTCCGGTCGGCGACACAGTAAGGATCGGACGCTTTCTTACGAATCGTTGTAAGAAACGTGCGTTGCTCAAACGAACGTTTGTAATTTTTCACTTTCTTTCAACCGAACTATCACCACCACCACTCCCTCAGCTTCCCTCGCACGCAAGTCAAACAGTGGGCCAAGATTTTTTTTTCTGTTTCAACAGCCACAAAATCCCTGGAATGTGATTGATGTTCCTATACGGTAGACACTCCAGGTGCAAGCTGATCCAGAAGGATGTTGCCACATAAATCACTCTTGATGTATATCGTACGTAGTGAGTTCGTTTTATCGGTCCTATTGTTTGCGCGACAATATCTCACGCGGTCATCTCAATCAACGTGCATCAAGAAGTAACACAGTCGCGACTGCAGTAGAGCGCGTCACTGAGACACTAATCGATTTCCTCTTCGATCAGTCCCTTCCACAAGGGAAAATATAATGGCTCCTAATGTCACACCAGCACGTCGAATAATAAAGCGTACACTCGCGCACCAATTTCCCGCAATAAAAATGGTAACGAACAGTCGAGACACTAGAGACACGTAGGACAGAACTTTCGTTTCCACTCGAGCGACGACGTGATCCCTAAGAATTTCGGGCGTTCCGCTACCGTCCACCAGACCCCATTATCGCACTGTACTGATCTTTGGTTAACACTGGTATGAGTCACGAATTTGCTCGATAAGAGCAAGAAAATCAAAGGCAAACCACTGAGCAAACAAAAAAGTTTTGGGTCACCAGAGGATAGACAAGGCGGGAACGAGCGTACCGTTCGGTAAGGTAGAACACTCGCGAAATGCATCAAGGGTAAAAAAGCCAGTCAAAACAAAGACCGTCTCTCCGCCTAGTATTATCATCAGGGCTCGCACGTAATGCACGATAATTCCCAAAGCTATATTGATACCAAGTCCAAGGACAGTGGGATTTTTATTATTCCGCGCCGTTCACCGAGCAACGTGTACGTAAATTACCAATCTCTATATCGATACGAGTCCGCATCGAAAGCACTGAAACGACCGATTGTTCTCTCGATTGCTT